TTTAGCTCTAAGTATATTCTGGTTATTAGGCCTTTGATATATAGCTGGCAAAAATCTTCTCCCATTCTGAGAGCTTTCCATTTAGCTTGTTAGCTATGTCCTTTGCCATACAGAAACAAATGTTAATTTTGGTGTAATCCTGTTGATCAATTTTCTTTGATTTTTTTTGTGTTTCTTGATTTTTATTTAGAAAGTTTTGACCAGTGCCCAGGAGCCCTGGTGTTTCACCATTCAACCACTCTGGAAAACATTATAGAAGTTGCTCAAAGAACTAAACATAGAACTACCCTATGATCCAGCAATTCCACTCCTGGGCATTTATCCAATAGAAAATAAACAAGGTTACAGCAAAGCCATCAGCACAACCATGCTCAGTACAGCACTATTCACCATAGCCAAAATATGGAATCAGTCCAGATGCCCCTCAATGGATGAATGGATCAAAAAAATGGGGTATATATGCACAGTAGAGTTTTACTCATCTATTAGAAAGAATGATATTGTACTACTCATAAGAAAATGGAAAGTCTTGAAAAACTATATTGAGTGAAGTAAGCTAGACCCAGAGAAACAAAGGTTGCATGGTTTTCCTCATTTGTAGTAGCTAGAATATGCTTATAAATCTGTAAGTAAACTTGTTGGGCCATATGCAAGTGGTTACAAATGAATTAATAGACTCTACAGAGAGCTCAAATAGTATGATCTTTTAGATAGATTGGGTCAAAGCCAACAAAATCAACACTAGGAAATAGGTTCATACAAGATGGGAGGAAGGGCAAAGGGAAAAGGGAAGAGGAATGAAGGGGAGAAGGAGGAGCAAATGCAGTTAATTCATTGTATATACCACAAAACTAAGAAAAGTAGGAGGTGGGTTGAAGGGGAGTAAGAATGTTAAAGGTGTGACACTGACCAAAATGCATTGCATTCACAAACTGCCTTGTTACATGGCACCTCCTTTGTACAACTACTTAAAGATAGTTTTAACAATAAAAAGATGCATTGTACTAAAAAATTGACATGTTGAAAACCCTTGTTTAACTATTTAAAAATAATTTTAAAAAACTTTTAAAAAAAGTTATACTTAACCCAGAGAAGGATTCCAAAAGTATAAGTCTTATGAGCAAGCTGAAATATTTTTTTTGTCTGGGGGAGGGAGAGGATTAAGGGGAGGAGCAGGCAGGTAATTAGAGAGAGGAAATGTGTAGAAATACAGTCATTATATTCAATGTACATATGTGAAAATGGAACCACATACTTGAGGGTATGGATGGGCTGAGGCAGATGAGGGGAAAAGATGGAAGGGGTGACATTGATCAAGATGCATTCTACTCAAGACACTGACATGTTTAATGTAAACCCCTTGGTACAACTACTTTTAAAAAATAAGCAAATAAAAAAAACACATAAAAAAACCCAAGTTTACCAGAAGACAAGTGAAACAGTGACTATGAATATGGAGAAAATGAGACCAAAATCTAGTAATTCTATATCTAGCAAAGATATCAAAATTTAGGATTTAGAGTTGCCTTGTTGCCCATCTGAGGAAATGCCTAAGTATTCTAACCAAATGAAAGTCAATTAGAATGTAGAGTTTGTGATATTCAATGAAAAATAAGGTGGTGCAGAGAATGGTGATGGTAACATGTAAACAATCTATGTAGAGGATGTGCCTGGAGTTTCTACCATACCTCAGGTTTCTCTTTGCACACAATACAATCCCCAATAGAACAAAATTCTGAATTTCCTTTTCATTAAAAAGTGTGTCCATATGCAAGGGAAAGAATGTGAGACAAAAAGAAAAAAATCAAAATTAGCACTGGAGCTTGAACTGTGGACTTTGCACTCACCCTTGGCCTTCTTGCTCACAACTGGTACTCTATCACTTAAACGATACCCTTGACCAAGTGTTTTGTTTTGTTTTTACTGGACAGTTGGAGATAGTCTCATAGACTTTTCTGCTGGGCTAACTTGGAACCATAATCTCCATGTCTGAGTCTTCTGATAGCTAGGATTACAGGTGGAAATCACTGGCCCCTAGAAAATGTTATCTTCTTAGTATAGAAGGATGAGAAGAGTAGGGAACTAAAAGGCATTGGAAACAGAGACTATATAGTTTTCATATATTGATGGACTAATTCAAATTTTGTGATGGTCATGTGTGATAGATATAAAGATAATGTTTTAAAAACTAATAGTAGGGAAAAATTAAAATAACTGCCATATTATCAAGCATTATCAAACATATGTTGAAACATGTTCATCAGGATACAATACAGGTGCCTGCACACCAGGTTCACTGCAGCATTATTCACAATAGTCAGGTGCTGGAAAAGCACAGATGCCCTTCAGTTAATTAATGGATCAAGAGATATGGTATATGTATACAATGGAGTCATATTCAGGCATAAAGAATGGAACTATGCCATTTGTAAAAATGGATGGAACCAGGGATCATGTTAAATGAAGCAGCTTGAGAAGTCAAAGTTCACATTTTCTGTCTCATGTCAAATCTAGGCCTAAAAAATAATAGATGGATATACACACATGTACATACATATGTATAAAAACATGACTAATCCTGGGACTGTCTGGGGAGACAAGGATAAAGAGACAAGGGAAAAAGAATGAGGGATAAACAGTACCAAAATACATCACATCCATGTGTGAAGATGGCACCAGTTAACTCCCTAACAGCTACTGAAAAATAAGGAGGTAGGAGAACAGGAAGAAGAAAGTGTCCCCTGTTTGATCAGATTGCTTGAGTAACCCTTCCTTCTGGGGGAGGATTAATCTGATCAATGCACAATTTATGTATGCATGAAATGCCACTGTGAAACCCCTTTGTGCAATTGAGAAACACTACTTTTTGAAAGTAGTGATGAAAATGTGAACTGTGGTTAAGAGTAACAGCAATATTGGTTTATATGTCTTTTGACAATGGAAATGAAGGATGATAGCCTACAACTGAATGAAAGCCACACTGTCACTCTGTGTGTTACCTGTGCAATGGTTCTAAAACATAAAACTCTTCTAAAGGTAATGATTTACTTTGTAAAGTATGCTGCCTCAGGTGATAATCACTAGTGCTCTCTGAGTTTCATTATGTCCATTCAAACTAGGATTCAATGTGTTTTTTATCCCAAGTTGAATTCATTGCAAGTTGTTCATATTGTATTTGCTTAGAGCCCGGAATAAAATAAGCCCCTGCGTTCATCACTGGAACATTCAATAGTCCCAGTCTTGCTGGGCACCTGGACACTGAGCTACTCAGAAGGTTGAGACAGGAGGATTGTGATTTGAAACCAGTCAGGTTACAAAAATCCATGAGACTCCTGTGTTCAATTAACCACCAAAATACCAGAAGTAGAGCTGTGGCTCAATTGTTAGAGTGCCAATCTTATGCAAAAAATCCTAAAGGACAGGGACCAGGCCCTGAGTCTAAGCCCAAGTACTAAACAAAACAAAACAAAAAATTTCTTTCTTGCCAAAAAGAAAAAATAGTTTGTTGTAAACTCTTTTCTGGAATGTAATTTAAAAATTGTGCAAATGCATTCTATATTATTAGATGATTACATGGCATTAATGCTATATGATCATTTTACCCACCCAACCAATAAAGACCAGGGTTGGGACTTGGTTGCTAATAAGCTGAGGTAATGTCATGAACATCCCCCTCTCTCTAAATGTCATTTATTTGCTGAATATGTTTATTTCAATTACAAAGGCTAGCAAATAGTAATTATAACAGTGGCATAGAAAACATTAAAGCAAGTGTGCAAATCATCACAATCACTGTGGGGTGACTAAATCCTTTTGCTAAAAGATCAAAGTTATCATATTCATTTAAAACCCAAGCAAAACGCATGCACTGAATAAAAGTTACAAAAAAAGATTGAAGTTAAGCAGTGAGGCTGTGGGGGGGGGGGACAATAAGAATGTGCGGGGCAAATGCTAAAAGAAAAACCAAGTTGACAATGAGAGCATTAATGGGAAATAAAATGCAACTCAGAAAAAACACTAGCTAACTCAAAGAATAACATGTTATAGGGAAAATGTCAATCAACTCTGTATGAGAAATAAACCTTAAGATATATATGTATATATACATAAGATGTACATGTATACATGTATGTATATACATGTATATATAATATATGTGTATACATATGTACACATATGCATACATATATGTATATATACATGTGATATATATGTATATGTATCTTATATATATATATATATCTCACAAAGGAGAAATTAAAATCACATTTATGCTGGCCAACATTGGCTCATGTCTGCAATCCTAGCTACTCAGGAAGCTGAGGAAGGAGAGTCGTAGTTCAAAGTGAGTTTACGCACAAAAGTCTGTGAGACCCTAATCTCCAATTAACTAGCAAAAAAGCCAAAAGTAGAGATGTGACTCAAGTGGTAGAGTGTCAGCCAGCCTTGGGTGAGGAAGCCAAATGAGAACACAGGGTTCTGAGTTCAAGCTTCAGTGCCAGCACCAAATAAATTTATTGCAAGAGATTTTAACATTTTTCTTTCAAAATTAGACAGTTCAAATATATAATTACAGAAAGATATGAAGGATCTGAAAAGTACAATAAGCAGTTTTCCTCTAATATTCATGTGAATACACCAGTTGATGATATATTTAATATCATTAAAGGTAACTTTGATTCATTTTGCAATGTGAATTTTTTTAACTTCACTCAAAAAAACATAAATCAACAATGGAAACATTTTTCATATTCTAATCACTGGGAAAATAAGAATTCACTCATAGAAATCCCTGTTTAAAGAGGAAATGAAAATTGAAACCACAAGCTGAGTATACAAAAAGAAAAAAGATAAGACATTCTATCAAAACTCCTCACATACAGCTAAAGTTATATGGAGAGGACAATTTGTAGCCTTAAAGAATGTTATCTTGTATGAAAAACTAAAGCAAAATAAAATCTGAAGCAATTTGTGTCTTTTTTTCCTTATTGGGAACACGACTAGATAGGTTCTGGAGCGTCCATGGATGTGCTGATAATCTTCCTTTGGTTTCCATGATTTTTCTTACCAGGGTGACAGTGCGAATGAATAAAGCGTTCAAGAATTCGTCTATCTGAGAAGCATAAGGAGAAAAAAGCATGAATACTCCATGTTGAATATTAAATGCTAAATAGGGAAAAATCTATGGAGGAGGTGAACATCTAACAAGAGTATTTATTTTCACATTGGGTAAGAAGTCAAATGAATCCATGAATACTATGTCTGAGTATAATTCTTAAGATGAGTAACCTTAGTATTCAAGGGATCAGCAGGGAAAGAACATGGGTTGCTTTTAGCACCAAAGAAACCAAAGTTTCTGTTAAAAATATTTAACCTTCCAGGCACTGGTGGCTCATGCCTGAAATCCTAGTACTCAGGAGGCTGAGATCTGAGGATCGAGGTTCAAAGCCAGCCCAGGCAGGAAAGTCCATGAAACGCTTATCACCAATTAACCACCAGAAAACTGGAAGTGACGCTGTGGCTCAAGGGGTAGAGCGCTAGTTTTGAGCTGAAGAGCTGAGGTTCAGTGCGCAGGCCCAGAGTTCAAGACCCACAACAGACAATATATATATGTAAACTCTGCTCTTCCTCATTTGTCCATCTTTGAATAGAGGCCATTGTACTTACCTTCCACTATCTTAGAATCGATTAGGTATGAAGCACTGAGATTTGCCCAGCCTACTAAAGACATTTTAATACACCATAACCTCTTTATCCTTTATTCCTAGGTGATAGGCAGTTGCTATACCGTCAAGCTATGCCTCCACCCCTTTCTTGTACTGGTTATTTTGAGATAGGGCCTTGCTTTCTTCCTGGGCCCATTCCTGGACTGTTACACTCCTATTATACACTTCCTTCCATAGCTGGGATAGCAAACGCACAAAATAGTTCAATACTTGGTGGTGATGGTCGTCGTCGTGGGGCTTGAACTCTGGGCTTGGGCACTGTCCCTGCTCTCTTCTGCTCAAGGCGAGCGCTCTACCACTTCAGCCACAGAGTTACTTCCGGTTTCTGGTGATTAGTTGGAGATAAGAGTCTCACAGACTTTCCTGCCTGGGCTGGCTTAGAATTGCGATCCTCAGCTCTCAACCTCCTGAGTAGCTAGGATTACAGGCGTGAGCCACTAGTGTCTAGCTCAATATTATTTTTTTGCCTAAACCTATGATTTTCCCAGCCTCAGTCTCCCATAGCAGGTATGTATTATCATACATAGCTATTGGAGAGAGAGAGAGAGAGAGAGAGCAGTTATTTAATTTGTGTGTGGGTATCTCCCAGAACACGCACACACGCTCACGCGCACGCGCGCGCACACACACACACACACACACACACACACACACACACCCTGTTTTACTGGGGTTTGATCTCAGGTCTTGAGCTTGCTAGATGAGTGTTCTCTTACTTGATCCATGCCCCAGATTTTTTGTTTTTCAGTTAATCAGATAAAGTTTTGTGCTATTGTCTAGACTAGCCTGGAACCACAATCTCCTGCTCTTTGCTTCTAGACTAGCTGGGATTATGGTTGTGAATCTCATGCTTTGGGACTTCAATGATATTTCTTTCTTTTTTTGTGGCCCTGGAGCTTGAAATCAGCTTTATGCTTGCAGTTTGAGCCATGAGGCAGCCTTTGGGGTTCTAATTACTTTTGAGATAGGATCTCTTTTATATTTGCCCAGATTAGCCTACAATGCAATTCCCTATTTATGTTTCCTGAGTAGCTAGGATGACAGGAACACACTACTGCACTGGTTGGATGGCTCTTATAACAGTTTCATCCAGGCTGGCCTTGAACCATACTACTACTGATCTCTACCCCTCAAGTGGGTAGGATTATGGTTGTGAGCTAAAAGCACCCAGCCAACCCCAGTATGTTTTTTTTAATGTTTTTTATTGTAAAAATACTGCAGCAAGGTGTTACGGTTACATGAGTAAGTTAATGATTACGTTCCTATTGAGCATTGTTATCTTTCCTTTGTTTTTCCCCTACACATCCCTTCCTTCCCCAGCTCCCCAACCCCTCCCCTTCCCCCAGCAAGTTGTAAAGTTCGGTTTCAACATAGTGTCATGTACATCTCATTGTTACAATGGTCAACCTGTATCCTTATTGCAGCATTTTGCTATTTCCCTTCCCCTTCCCAAATTAGAAAAATGTATAAACAACATGTAGGTCACCGACATCAAATACAGTGAAAACAGGCAACCCAGTATTTTTTAGACTGAGGTGTAATTGGGAAAAAAAAATAAAGTGCTCCGATATTACATGTAGAGTTTGATCAATTAACACTTGGTACATATAGCAGCCACACCCATGCAAAGCAATCATTGTCATTAGCTCGGAAGACCCTTCTGGGTACCCTCTAGTTAGTGCTTTTTACCCCCCCCCCAAGACAGCTACTCCACAGCTAAGCTTTACCCCTCCCAGACCTTTAGAGAAATGAAATCTTACAGAAGCCATTCTCTGTTTTGCACAAGGCTGATGTTCTACTACTGAGCCACAACTCCACTTCTGGCTTTTTGCTAGTTAATTAGAAAAAAGAGTCTCACAGACTTTTCTTCCCAGGCTAGCTTAAAACTGGGATCCTCACATCTCAGTCTCCTGAGTAGTTTAGGAGGAGTCACCAGCTCCTGACAGATGTTATAGCTATTTGTGTCTACCATCTCCCATAATGTTTTAAAAAGTCATTCATTTTGCTTCATAGATCAATAAATTATTTCTTTTATTGCCATGATTTTAGTATATCACAGTTTATTTATCTGTTTTCCTGTGGTTGGAGACTTGCCTATATCCTAGTTTGGGGATGTTCAAAATAAAATGGTTATAAACCTTCTTGTACAGTCCTTTTTGTGGATATATGCTTTCTTTTCTCAGAGAAACATGCAGAAGTAGAATTTCCAAGTCTTGGAGGCAGAGCAGATAAATGAGATTATAGGGAAATTAAATATTTTTTAACAAATATTAAAAAGGACAGACCCAGAAACCAGGAGATAAACTGAGGAAGGCAGTTAAGCTTCTTTCACACTACACCTACTTCTAGATGCTAAATTAGAAACAATAGGAAACCTAAGAGTGACTATTTAAATCTGCCTTCTCCTTTGAAATGAAGGCTAAGGATCCAGTTCTGAGTCTGGCATAGGCAGACTTGAGCCAACTAACTGGCATAAAACTGGAAGTGGAGACATGATTCAAATGGTAGAATACTGCCTTAATCAAAAAGGATAAGCAGAGTTGGACAAGGCCCTGAGTTCTAGTCAGAGGAACAGGAGGAGAGGAAGAAAAGAAGGAGGAGGAGGAGGAGGAAGAGGAAAGAAAGAAAGAAAAAGAAAGAAAGAAAGGAAGGAAGGAAGGAAGGAAGGAAGGAAGGAAGAAAGAAAGAAAGAAAGAAAGAAAGAAAGAAAGAAAGAAAGAAAGAAAGAAAAAGACAAGCCATTATTTTGAGTATTTAACTCCCATTTCCTATGTGGGAAACAAGAAATGTTTCTCTCTTATATTGTTTCTCCTCACTTTAACTCTGCTACACTAAATTAAATCCTTGCTAAAATTTTCACCCTGTGAGAGTCTCCCTTCTTTGAGACACCTTGAAACTCTTTTCACATGTGGATCTCAAGAACCTGTGATTTTGTGTGAAAACTCGGAAGCTGAGGGAAGCTTCTCATCCATCCTCTGGTAACAACAAGCCTTCAGAGCAGACAAATCTCACAGAAAACCAGATTTCAGATAAATTTATCATTTGAGTGGGAAGAAAGTGGGTAGATGACACAAAGGATAACAGATGCTCAGAAAGTATGCTTTTGGATGGTCTGAATCAGACTCAGTTTAAAACAATGTTGAAAATAGATGGGCCACTGAAGACATCTGGTCAACCTTTGCATGGATTAAGAGGCCCAATTCAGGGTGAACAGCCTTTTCTGTTTCATTCAAAAATATTTCTTTTTGCATTTTGGAGCATGTGAATATATATAATGATATATTTGAGGATGAGATCCAAGCCTCATTTATGTTTCTTATACACTTTGTACATATAACCTGGAGGCAATTTTTTGGCACCTGGGTTTTAACCCAGCAATAAGGTTGGGTGTGGAATTTTTCCTCTTATAGGATCATATTGGTGCTTTAAGATTTGGGGGACTAAGCATGCTCAGCTTGCACAAAATAATGCTAACAAGAGAGTCACTGGGAATGGAAGTTTCACCTTCAGCTGCTATCTGCTCATTCCTGCCTCTCCAGTTTCTCTCTCTCTCCCTTCCCTCTTCCTCCACTTCTCTCCCTTTCTCTCTCAGTCTATCATTCTCTCCCTCCTTCCTTCTGCTTTCTTGCTCCTTCCTCTCTCCCTCTACATCCCTTCTGTGTGTGTGTGTGTGTGTGTTTGTAAGTCTCTCCTTCCCTCTCTCCCTCTTTTCTTTCTATCTGTGTCTGTCTCCTTTGTCTCCCTCAGCCCCATGCTCTGGGATCCTATACCACCATGGCCTACTACTTGCGTAGGATAATACAGTCATATAATTTCAGCTGAGCCGATAATGGTTCAACCTAAGACATCTGCCAGAGTTTTGTTCTCTGCCCACCAGCTCAGCCCCATGGTGAAAGCACTGCTGAGATGCTCATAGCTAAAACGCATTCATGTCATCGCTGATGCTGGAAATGACAAGAGGCTTGGGGTGGAAGTACTCCATGTGAACCTCCCACTTGCTTGTCAACCTCTCACACAATCGGCTTTGGTGAATGAGCTGTTCTGAAGCAGAGCTGCCAAAGCAGTTGGAAGCCACAGGAAGCAGCTCCTGTATCAGCCCAAGGCAGCACAGAAAAGCAAAAGCTTTAGGCCTCTGCCTATGGGTACCTGCCACCAATGCTACCCTTACAGAGCCAGAAAAGCAGGAGAGTCAAGGAAAAACAAAACCCTAACTGGTCCTAAGGTGATCCTGCTAGCAACCAGTCATTTCTCACCCATCTAAGAAGGAAAACCTGGCAGGGTGGATAGATTGTGTTCACCTGAAAGATCAGCTTGCCCTGGTCTCTTGAAGAATGTGGATGCCAAGTTGAACAGAAGCCACAAGGGTCACTCTAAGGAAACCCTGGTGTGAGAAACCCACTCACCTGTCCAAACTTAAAGGATGGACTCAGAGACAAGAAGTACAACAGAAGTGGTGGTCTTTCAAGACCACATGTCAGGTGGACAGATACACTTTAGTCTATTACAACAAGCAACTTATCCCTAGTGTGCAAGGTCCCTCCCCCAATTTCTCATTGGCTAACTATTATGGGGTTTACATTCTCTCCTGGAAGTTGCACTACTTTCTTAGGTAATTCATCTGTCTCCAACCACACAATCCTCCCTTCCCAACCTCTCACACACTCACACACTCATCTGTGGCAGGAAGGCTTTTCTGGGTATGTGCTTTCTGGTATATGCACATAGTTCCTACCCATTTTCTCATTTTATTGAGGTACATTCTTCCTCTTGTTAATCAGCCCCTTCCAACCAGTCTTGTTCGTCTATGGACTTCCAGTGAATAAACTCTGTCATGTCTGTAAGCTTATCCAAGCAAACGACTAGTAATTTTCCACTCAGGGGTCAAATATCTTATTTTGAAAATGAACCACTTCTGACTTTCACCTTAGAGGTTTGCACTTGACACATGGAGAGAAGAATGTGCTGGCAATCACCATGGTTCCCCATAGGCAGAAATGGGGACTATGTACAGTGTGGCCAGTCCCTAGGCAGATGGCAGTCTGTGCTTAGGGAAGTCAGAAATGATTTGTGGGTCCAACACATGTGGTTGCTAGAGACAGAAGGAAGATTTTGCAAAATGCAGAGGATGGTTTTGCTTATCTGCACCAAAGCTTGGAAAGGGCAGAAAGACAGCCTGGGCTTTCTGTTGACCTTCCACTCTGTCTTTTGGGAGAATGAGACAAGCAGACCTCCAGAAGACTTAGTTTCTTTCAGAAGTGAAGAACTGGCCCAGAGACATCTGTTGAGAGGGATGAGGCTCCCAATAGGAAATAAATACTTCTGCCTCTGAATGAAGCCAAACACCTGCTTCCTGGACTTCCCTGAAGCCCAACATATTCAAATACTTCTAAGGATGGAAAGCAGATCCTTAAACACACACACACACACACACACACACACACTCCCTTCTAGTCTTATCTACACTAAGGCTTTAGCTTTGCTTCTAGCTGGAGATCCTAGGATAAAAAGGATTTCCATGAATACTTCAGAGGAACCAGATCTCTCTCACTGGCAAAGGGACAGACACAGAGCAGTAACTGGGGACTGGAGAAGGTCAGGTGGGAGATAATGTCAGCTGGAGAGCTGCTGAAAGTGGGAGGAAGTCCAATACTAAAGCCTGTTCATGGGCACAAAGGAGTTGTGGATCCCACATTGACCTGAGCATAAAGTAGACTGCCAGAGATATGTTGGATCCAGAAAAACAATTAGAATCTTCCAGGAAATGGACTCATTACCTTGCTCAGGTAACTGTAACCCCTCTGTACAGTATCTTTACAATAATATATATATGTATATATATATATATTATAATCTTCACAAATTTGTTTCTATTTCCTATTTTAAGGTTACAGGACTTCTAATGTACATACTTTATACACTCACTGGGTGTGTACTCAAACGAGGGGACGTGGGATCTCCCCACCATCCTTACTCCAAAGTGGCCGGCAGCTAGAAGAAGTTTTCTTCCTCTCCTCAACATCCTTTGCTCCCTTGGTTGACATTTTATGCACTCTTCGTTAGACTGATCCCTGAGCTGCTCCCAAATCCATCCCTGGCACTCAACTCCAAAATGGGATAAGTCTTTGCTGTGTAAATAAATCAGCGCCATTCTGAGAACGGCATCTGCTCTCTTTTTGGATGTGGACTACAGAGATTCTCATGGACTTTAAATCTTGTTCCAAAGAAGTGCCACCAAACAGGAAACAAAGTCAACAGAATTCAAAACAAAACACCTGAGCTAGTCCAAACAGCCACTGGAGAAACCAGTTAGCTGTAAGCAAAAGAGAAGTCATCCTAGAACAAGTAAGCTGCAGGTAAAATGATATCAGAAACGCTCTATGTCTCCTTTTTAATAAGTGGGAATAAAATCTCCAGGGCTTCTTTAAAGAAATTTGTTTCTCAACGGATTGAGGTTTGCACAAGATTGTGGAATTTTCTTTTAAGAAAATGTTTCTCTTTTGTGTGTAGACATTCATCTCCAGTTAAAATGTTAGCTTTGAGAACCATTATTCCTTTCATAAAGCAATGTTTTATGATAAAGCATGGAATGGCAATTCAAGACCCCGTCTTACCTTTTTTGGAAACACTTTGCAGGTACTCACTGACTTGAGAGGGAGAAAAGGAGTTTAACATCATCAAGAAGTCCAGGTAGGCTTTCCCATAGTCACGCTGGTAGGATGTCTGCTTCTTTATGCGTTGTTCATTATTAAGGTAGCTGTGCAGCATGGTAGGGACTGGAAGACACAGAGAGAGTCAAATGATTGAGGAAAAAAAGAAAAGCTGTCCTTCTTGCTTGAACACAACCCATTCATCCCCAAGCGTGGTTTGGAGTTGACTCTGAATTTGCAATAATGAGGTGCTACCTTTACCATCCCTGTAATAGTGACAGGTGCTATGGTGGGCTTCTGGGAGCTGCTGACTATCTCTATTGGGGCTGCAGGGTTGGAATGCACTGATCAGAGGTTGAATATGATCATCTGGCCTCAGGAAAGAAATCCTCCCTAAGTCTACACTTACACAGGTCAATGTGTTAAAATGGTAACATTCATTCATCACCTCTCAATAAACAACAGCCATTGGGGAAGCTTCTTTTTCCTGTAGAATATATGTACCTTCTTGCTTTGGTACACTAAAAGACCTTCCAGTGAGCTCAAGAATCTCGGGAGGAACAGTTTGGAAGAACAAAGACAGCCAGCACTTCATGCAGATGCCTGAAGGTTGCAGGTGCATGTAAGCCCCAAGTCACTTCTTTGATTATGAATGGTGTTCATTTAATGTGGATTCTGATATTCATGGCACTATCATAAGAACAATGAAGACAGACAAAAATGTAATTCCTACAACTTGCCTAATATCTTTGTGAACCTAGAGAACACCTTAAATATGGTCTCCAGTTTCAGATGTCTTATGATGGCTACTTTTGCTGTTTTTGGTTTATCTGTTTGGTTTGTTGGGTTTTGTGCCAGTCTTGGGGCTTGGACTCAGGGCCTTGAGCATTTTTGCTCAAAGCTAGTGATCTACCACTTGAGTTACAGCTCCGCTTCTGGATTTTTGGTGGGTAATTGGAGAGAAGAGTCCCACAGACTTTCCTGCCTGGCTTCAAACCTGGATCCTCAGATCTCAGTCTCCTGAGTAGCTAGGATTACAGGCATGAGCCACCATTGCCCAGCTGTGTGAGGCTAATCTTGACTGTCAATTTGAATGGATTGAAAAGCATCTAGGAAATTAATAAAGCCACATCACTGGATGGGTTTGTCGGGGGCATTTCCAGAGAGGATTGAGTAAAGGGATGGGATAGCCCACACTGAATGTAGGTATATGGGTGGCTTGTTCCATCCAGGACTCCAGTCTATGGAAAGAGAAAAGAGAAAGAGCCCCCAGCACAGGTATTCTCTCTCTCTCTCCCTCTCTCTCTCTCTCTCTGTGTCTCTCTCCCTGTCTCTGTCTCTGTCTCTCTCTCTGCCATATCCTCTCTACTTTGATGGATTGAAATTTCTGAAACCTTGAGCCAAAATAAATCCTTCCTCATTTACCTTTAAGTTATTTTCTTTATGGGCACTTGTCACAATGACAAAAATAAACAAACATACAAACAAACAATGGCCCTCTTTAAAAGGGCCAAATGGAAGAACCAGACTACAGAGGAGCTTTGTTGTTTTATCCTGAAAAAAAGTAGTGTCTAGCATGGTTTTACTTTAAAAAAGAGAATACTTAAAAGGCATTAGCGTGGCTGGGAAGGTGGCTCAGTTGTAGAGCGCTTGCCTTGCATGCATGAGGCCTGGGATTCAATTCCTCAGCACCACATAAGCAAAAAGAAAAAAGCCAGAAGTGGCACTGTGGCTCAAGTGGTAGAGTGCTAGCCTTGAGCTGAAGAGCTGAGGGACAGCACCCAGGCCCAGAGTTCAGGCCCCACCACCTGACCCCCCCCCAAAAAAAAAGGTATTAGATAGTCACCACAGAATAGCCAGACACTGATAACTCAGGCTTATAATCCTAACTACTCAAGAGGCTGACTTGTGAGGATCACAGCTCAAGGCCAGCCCAGACTGACAAATCTGTGGGACTCTTCTCTCCAATTGACAAGCAAAAAGCTAGAAGTAGCAATATGGCTCAAGTGGTAGATTATTAACCTTGAATTAAAAAGCCAAGCAGGAAAAAAAGGCCCTGAATTTGAGTCCCAATATTGGCACACCTGCGTGCATGCACACACACACATGCACGCATGCGTAAAGACACACACACACACACACACACACACACACACACACAAACACACACACGGCTATATGGAGAATCTTGGAGCAAAGAGACACTAAAATTGACTCATTAATAGGAAACTGCCCTGTTTCATAAACAACAACAAACACTATGTGCATTTTTTTCCCAAGGACCCAAGACTCAGAGGAGTGAATGGAAAATAAAAACTAGAGGGTCTCAGTCAAAAGTCAGAAAGTTGCCAACAGTTACAGTGCAAACCCAGTAACAGACTGGAAATTGCTCAGTCTCTACATACCTGCCCACAAGACACACCATTTCAGTTCCTTTGCTATAAGCCATTGGGAGAGACAGATATGAGCTGTGTCCTGATCCCCTTCTAGGTTGACTACAAAAAAAACTTCCTTTTTGAAAGTTGGAGCCACACTATTGGCTTCTGGGTATATGGGGTGACATGTCCTGGCCCATATTAACAGGACTTATGATGTTGTTTTAATAACTGGAAGTGTGCTTACCTAGACCCTGAGAAGCAATGCGCAGGCGCGAGTAACATCCATACTGGAAACTAAAATCCTGCAGCTCTGGAATTTTAGCTGGAGTTTGGTAACTCCTTCGAAACTCAGTATCTAGAGGTCGGGGAAGGTGCTTTTTCCAATCCAGAATCACTGGGCGACTTTCCTTCATGCTCTGAGCTGGGGTGGAGGGAGAAAGGAAAGGCAATGATTTCTTCTGGTCAGCTATTCTTGAGTAGCTTTTCATTTCATTTTGCTTCTGGTAGTTAACTTCCAATTTATCACTGTAAGCCCTTCTTCTTATGTTTAGAGTCCCAGTATAGCTTTAGGAAGGTCATCTAGAAACAATCTACCTTCTAATGCATTGAAAGTATAAGCTCAGATGATCATAAGTGGTTTCTTTTTTCTTTCTTTCTTTCTTTTTTGTTTGTTTGTTGTGTCAGTCATGGTGCCTGAACTCTGAGCCTGGGCCCTGTCCCTCAAGCTCTTCAGCTCAAGGCTAGTGCTCTACCACTTGAGCCACAGTGACACTTCCAGCTTTTTCTGCTTATGTAGTGCTGAAGAATCGAACCCAGGGCCTCATGAATGAAAAGCAAGTGCTCTACCACTGAGCCACCTTCCCAGACCTGGTTTCTTTTTTCTTTTGTTGGCACCTAGACTTGAACTCAGGGCTTCCCAGCTGCTTGCTTGCTGAGCTTACTTGCTCATCTGGTGCTCTACCACTTGAGCCACATCTCCTGCCTTGTTTTGTGTATGTTTTTTTGGAGATGGAGTCTCATAGACTTTTCTGCCTGGGCTGGCTTCAAACCTCAATCCTCTGAATCTCAGCCTTCCAAGTAGCTAGGATTACAGGTGCGAGCCACTAGCACCCAGCTGCTTATCAGTAATTTCTAGTGAATATTAGAATTTCTGCTCAGCGGGCACAGAAAGCATCCGTAGCTCTGTTAGGTTTGCCTCATTATTGCACTGGGGTTATGGTGTGTGTGTGTGTGTGTGTGAGAGAGAGAGAGAGAGAGAGAGAGATTGGATTGGCTAAGTTCACCTTCTAAAGCACAGGGGGCCCACTTAAATTTGAACTTCGGATAAAAACTAAATACTTTTTCAGCTTAAGTACTCTTATCTCCTTTAAATAGTTTTACTCAAATTCAACTGGAGAGGCTATTTTATTTGCTTAACCTGGCAGCCCTAGAGAGGTATATATCATTTCATTATGTAGAAAAGAACTATTCAAAGCCTATCCCTTACTGCTGGAAGGTTATATGACTATTTCCTTGAAATAGCTCTATAAGAGGTAGGCATGGTGCCACACACCTGTAATCCCAGCTACTAAAGAGGCATAGGTAAGAAGATTGAATTTTGAGACCAGTTTAGTCAAAAGCAGGAGATTCTGTCTCAAAATCTAAAAATCAAAAAGACTAGAGTGTGGCTCATGTGATAGAATATTTGCTTAGTGAGTGCAAGGCCCTGAACTCAATTCTAATACTGCCATATAAGTGTGTAAGTACATATATGTATTTGATGATAAATAACAAATATAAATGTGTCATCATTAAATACTGATTAAACTCCAGTCTACAAATACTACCAGATTACAGAGGAGAAGGTCATAAGTAATCTCACTTAAAATGCACATGTCCCTAATTCTTGCCACAAAGCCTCAATTTGGAGGCATATTACACAACAGCATCTTTATTCAGAAGGATAAAGAGGTTAAGAAATGGGTTTCAGGAGCAACATCTAAGCAGTGCAAATTGCTATTGACAATTTTTTTATTTTTATGTTTTTTTTTTTGGTCGTGGGGCTTGAACTCTTGGCTTGGGCGCTATCCCTCAGCTCTTCAGTTCAAGGCAAGTGCTCTACCGCCTGAGCCACAGCGCCACTTCCTTGACACTTAATTTATCTTCCAAATTAGGTGGTCTTGTGAAGATAATTTCTAATACACATTCTATACCAAATGTGTTGTAATGGGATTTGTTGGTTTGCATTGTATATGAAAAGATGCGTAACTCCCTATCCTAGTACCAGAGAGCAGTTTGATATTTTCTTTTTTCAATAAATAAATAAAGTCAGGTGCTGTCTTTACAGGCATGTAATTCTAGGTACTCAGAGGCAGGGATCTAAAGAATTGTGGTCAAAGCCTGAGCAGCAAAGTCCAAAATGTTCTATCTCTAAATAACCAGCAAAAAAAGACACAGTGTCAAAATGTTAACCAAGCAAGCCAAATGAGTACAGATCCTTAAGATCGAGCCCTGGTTTTTTTTTAAAAAAAAAAAAACAAACCACCACAACACCAATAAATCTTTGTAAATCAGCAGAGAAGAATTTCACATAATACCTCTTATTTTGGGAGACCAGAGAGAAGATTCACATGCAAATGAAGATACTTAAGAAAAACATACACTTCTGTTGGGAGTAACTCCCTACCTAGAACTCCCTAGTAACTCCTTATTTTGGCTTTCTGATAGCTTTAAGGAGGCAAGAAATTTTCTGATGAAATGCTTGACTCATCTCTCTCTGCCCTGGAACAACCATTCAACAGCAAATGTTCCATTCCCTAAATGTCATCTGTGATGTTTGCCAAGATTATAAGTCATTGAGTCAATGTTCTGCCTCAAAACAGCCCCCAACTACTGTGATTAGAGAAGTATCTAGGGAGCTGGGCACCCTGTAGCTCATGCCTGTAATCCTTGCTACTCTGGAGGCTGTGAGCTGAGAATTGAAGTTTAAAGCCATTCCAGACAGAAAACTCCATGAGACTCTTCAGTTAACTACCAAAAAGCCAGAACTGGAGCTGTGGCTTAAGTGGTAGAGCACCAGACTTGAGCCTAAGGGACAGTGTACAGGTCCTGAGTTCAAGTCCCATATGACACCAAAAAAGGGGGGAGGAAAAGAGAGGAGGGGGGGGAGCAGAGGAGAAGAGAAGAGAGGGCTGAGGAGAGGATAGCAAAGGGCTATCTACAGGACACACAGATATGAAATGTGCTGTCTTGCATGAGAAGTGTGGTTTTCATGTGGAATTAAGAGGTTAGGAAGAAGTTCTGAACTATACCTGTTTCATCTCATCCCAGAGGTTGAGGTTATCTAGAAACAGGGAAGGTGCTCAAATTGTGAACAAACTTCCCAGGTGTTTAGCAATCATGGGGTTAGTGTTTTAAATCAAGAGCTACCAGAGCCCTGAGCGAATGGGAGGGTGGTGTGTTAGAGGAAAATAAGGAAGACATAGATTGAAAGGCAAACAGTGAAGGACTTTGACAATGGGCCAACAATGAAGCAAAATAAATAAATAAATAAATGTCCAGCGTATCCATGCAGTGTGTCCCAGAAGGGATCAGGACAGGAAAGATCATGAATTTCTTCCCATGTGGACCACTGTGCACATGTGCCTAGAAGTGAGCTTATTGGAGATGAAGACCCAGCAAAGGCAAAAAAGCAGGACCTAGTTTCTTTTAGACAAAGATGAAGTCTTGTTCTTTATTGATCCTCTATACTTAGAGCTCATTAAATATTTACTAAGTTTATAAATGAGCAACAGAAAACTTCAGATACAGAATTGCTATCGATCAGCAATTAGTATCTGAGTCACACTCTGGTGAGGGCCTACGGGATATATGCTTAATGTAATACTTAATGTAATGCCTAGTAAACTGTGTAATGTTCCTCCATGGTATGGGATTAGTTTTCCTAAACAATGTTATCTGTTGCCTATGTAAAATTTCACATTACCAAACTCCTTCCAGGCATTTCAAAAAAGAGAGGTTTCCTCATACAAAAGGACCAAGAGCGAAAAAAGAGCCTGGCTGGCAATTGTGGCAAAGGCCTCCTTCCATAGAGGTTCAGCATTTCTGACCATGGCCTTGAGCATTTCTGTGTGCAGGCCCAGGGCATTAAATCACCATGGCCTTGAGCAGTCACATATGCAGGCCTTTGGGCATAATGTCATCATGGCCCAATGCCTCTGGAAGACTTGCATGTCTGATTGGACTGATTGAACCTCAGAAGTGTGCACTGGAATGGTAATCCAATCAGAAGGCCTAAAAGATGCACAGGGAGCTCATACAGACTGCATGGAGTCTCTGATTGGGTCTGGGGACTGACATGGCCTGTAGTCTGTCCAATGATCTCGAGAGTCACATAACTCTCTCCTAGAAACACCTTATCTACCCCTGCACAATGCACCCAGGTGGTGCCCTCCCCTGGGACCTCTTCTGTCTAACAGAAGCTCTCCTTATCTTTTTTTTGGGGGGGGGGTTCAGTCGTGGAGCCTGAACTCTGGGCCTGGGCGCTGTCCCTCAGCTCTTCAGCTCAAGGCTAGCGCTCTACCACTTGAGCCACAGCACCACTTCTGGCTTATTTTTCTTTTTGCTTATGTGGTACTGGGGAATCGAACCCAGGGCCTCATGCATGCAAGGCAAGTGCTCTACCACTAAGCCACCTTCCCAGTCCCTCTCCTTATCATTTTCTTCAGCATATCTTTGCCATCTTCTCTGTGTCTGTCCATGGACTCTTTCTTCACAGCCAGAGACACAAAGGACCTCATCCAGGTGTTGCTGTTTTATGGTATCACAAGCAACACTCAACCCCCAGCCCCCATCCTGCAGCTGAAGTATAGCAGATAAAATAACCATGATCCAGAACTCAGCTGAACTCAGTGGTTCCAGACACGGACCACAGCCAGGGAGTCATTCTACTTCTACTCCTCAGGGGTTCCACAATACAACCCCATGTCTTTTCCATTCATGACTGTGAATCAATACTAATAAGTCAGTCCCCAAAAGAAATGGTGCATTTAATATTAGGGAGGGCTGAGTAGGAAAGAGTCTTTGAGCCTTGAATGGCAAAGACAACTCAAAAACCATTCATTAGGACCATTGGTACGTTCTCTATAGCCATGTGGGAACCTTTTCCGCCATCTTCCCAGCTGTTCTGATTTAGCAAAGCCAAGCTCTCCAGACATCTTCATTAATTCTCATTCATTTGCCTTAATTCAATAATGAGAACACAAAGCAAAGACAAGTCCCTGAGCTTCAGAAGCTTAAAGAATTAGAGAAAATGAACACACAAAGAAAGACAATACAGCATTGTGTGACAGGCCTCTGAAAAAGAGATTCGAAGAAAGCCAGGCACCAGTAGCCCATGCCTGTAATCCTAGCTACTCAGGTTGCTGAGATTTGAGAATTGCAATTTGAAGCTGGCCCTGGAAAAACAAACAAAACAAAAACAAAACAAAACCCAACCAACTCTGTAAGACTCTTATCCTCAGTTAACTACCAAAAAGCCAGAAGTGGCTCAAGTGGTAGAGCATAAGCATTGGGCACAAAAGCAAAAACTCAGATCCTGAGTTCAAGCCTTAGGACAGGCACATACATAAAAAGAGATTAAAATAAGGCTACAAAAGCACATGAGCGAGCTACTAAACCAAAGATGAAGCTCAAAGGAGGCTTCTTGAGCAGACTAGATTTAAATGGTAGATAGAGTGGCTAAAAGAAGGAAGGGAGAGGTGCTGCTAGGGGAGGAAGCAATGTGTGTATAGGGCAAGAGACCACAGGGGGTGTGACAAGTCTTTAAGACATAGAGCAATGGAGTGAGCATGAGGCAGTAGGGAGAAGGTTGTAGAGAGATGAGGGTAAGGACAGGATGATGCACATCATAGGGTTGAAGTCTTCCAGCTTTTATCTGGAATGTAACAGGAGTCTCTGGTGGGTTTTAGCCAAAGAGTGCCATCACCTTATGTCCAGAAACTCATTGTGGCTGTAGTATGGACAGGAGACTAGAAGGGTCCAACCAGAGAAGAGAGTTGGAATAGAGGTCATCCAAGGTCAGATACTGGTATCCTTCACTAAGGCAGGACTTGGAAAGGAAAGAAGCAGATGGAGTTATGACATTTAGGAGAGCGTATTAACAAGCCCTACATATTTACCTGCACATGGGGAAATGGGAATGTGTTTGTGTTGAATAGATAACTTTGATTGGAAACTTAAAGACATCTTTTTTTTTTTTTGTCAGTCGTGGGAACTGAACTCTGGGCCTGGGCGCTGTCCCTCAGCTCTTCAGCTCAAGGTTAGCGCTCTACCACTTGAGCCACAGCACCACTTCCAGATTTTTCTGCTCATGTAGTGCCGAGGAATCGAACCCAGGGCCTCATGCATGCAAGGCAAGCACTCTACCACTAAGCCACCTTCCCAGCCCCTCAAAGACATCTTTTAAGAATGCTGACATTACACACCAGTAATCCTAGGTCCTCAAGAGGCTGAGATCTGAGGATTGTAGTTCGAAGCCAACCCATGTAGGAAAGTCGGTGAGATTTTTATCTCCAGTTAACCACCAAAAAGTTAGAAGTAAAGCTGTGGCTCAAGCATTAACTTTGAGCAAAAGAAACTCAGGGACAGTCCCCAGACCCTGAGTTCAAACCCCTAGACTGGCACACACACACACACAAAGCAATAATAAAAGAGAATACAAACATTTCAAATGCTTTCCCATGACCCTTGTGTGAATCTACAGGAATAGAGGGGTTTTGATATCTTATTATCTAGTTTCAAAATGAGTATCTTCCATATATTGTCTGTTATTTCCTGAGCTGGTTCTACGTAAAAGGACTTCAGTGATCTTACTGAAAAATTGAGGAAAGGGAAAAACACACAAAAGAATCAGTAACAAGTGAATTCAAAGCATACAATAGTAGATGAAATGGGATGGTGGCATATCTCTTCAGATGAAATGTTAAGAAAAGGTGTCACAGGAGAGGTGATATTGACGCTGGGGTCTATAACAACAAAGCCAAGCTACAAGAACTGGGGAGGGAACATTTCAGGCAAAGGGGACAGGATACACTGGCCAAAGATGGGAAAGAAATGGGCATCTTACAGGAACTAAAATAAGGCCCAGGATAGGAATGTGGCTTAGTGGTAGAATGCTTGTCTAGCATGCATGAAGGCCTGGGTTCCATTCCTCAGTACCACATAAACAGAAAACGCTAGAAGTGGCACTGTGGCTCAAGTGGTAGAGTACTAGCTTTGAGATATTACTAATGCCCAGGTGCTGAGTTCAAGCCCCAGGGCTGGAGAAGAAATAAATAAAATAAATAAGTTAATTAAATTAAATTAAAAATAAATAAAAATAAAATAAGGCCCGTACATATGCCTGGAACTCTATGTGTGAGGTAGATGGGAACAGGTAGACTTTGAAGGGAACAGGGTGAAGAACTAAGGAAGGATGAGCCCAACAGGAGCTAAAACTTGGATTTTATTTGAAATGCAACAGAAAGCCAGTGAGAGGAAGAAATAGTATAACCAGATCTAGGCACTTTAAAGATTCATCTAGCTTCCATATAGTAAGGGAGTTGGAAGGGCTGATGGGTAATGTAGGAAGATGGTCGCCACGGAAAGGAGAAGGTAACAAACTGGGAGTGTCATGGAACTTCTACTTGTTAGAAGTAGAATTAGGACACATTTGGAGAAGGTGGGTGAAGAATACAAACACGAGCCAGGCGCCCGGTGGCTCACACCTGTAATCCTAGCTACTCAGGAGGCTGAGGATAGCGGTTCAAATCCAGCCCTGGAAGAAACGTATGTAAGACTCTTCTCTTCCAGAAAACTGGAAGTGGTGCTGTGGCTCAAGTGGTAGAGTACTCACCTTGAGCTGAAGAGCTCAGGGACAACACCCAGGCCCAGAGTTCAAGCCCCATGATTGACAAAAAAGAAAAAATAAAAGAAAGAAAAGAAACAGAAAAAAAGAATACAAAAGTAAAAGTCTAGGATAGTGGATTTTTAAAGGAATTAATAACTGTAATAGAGACCCTAAGCACTTGTTCCTTAGCTTTATTGCTCAAGGCCAGCACTCTACCACTTGAGTTACAGCATCACTTCTGGTTGGGTCTTATTTTATTTTGTTGGTGACAAATTGAAGATAAGAGTCTCACACACTTTCCTGCCCAGGCTGGCTTTGAACTGTGATCCTCAGATGTCAGCCTCCTGAGGAGCTAGGATTACAAGTGTGAGCTTTGGGTGCCCAGCTTGTAATAGAGATGAAATGGGGAAATGACCAGAGAAGCATGGGGACACAGAAGCACAGGGAGAAGAGTGCTCCATGAAATGGCTGCTAGCTCAGCCAGCAACTCCAACTGCTGCTCAGAGGCCAGGAAAGATGTGGATGGCTGGAAGGTCCCTGGGGACTCCACAAATGACTTGCTGGGGGCAGAACTGAGACGGCAAGGGTTGAAAAGTCAAAGGTTAAAAGTTTTTCACATGGAATCCAGTGGGATGTCTCCATGCTTCATCAGACCAATCACAGATTAGAAACATTGCCACCTTTCTAGAAAACGGAAACCAAATAAGATGTAGCAGCTGAATGAGAAAAGAAGAGGAAGCTAAAACCTAGGTGTCTCAAGACAGGAAAACTAAAGTAGACTGACTCCTACTACAGAACTTCAGCCAGCCAGGGTCACCTTTGACAAGGGAGCAATAACTACATAGGGTATGGTGAGGATTGAATATGCTAATTTATGAAAGGCACAGGGCTTAATGCTAGCAATTTATGAAGCTTGATACCAGTGATTCACACTTGTAATCCTCGCTACTCAGGAGGCTGAGATCTGAGGATCCAAGTTCAAAGTCAGCCTGGGCAGGAAAGTTTGTAAGACTCTTACTTCCAATTAACCACCACAAAGCTGGGAATGGAGTTGTGGCTCAAATGGTAGAGTGCCAGCCTTGAGTGAAAAAGCTAAGGGACAGTTACCCAGGCCTTGAGTTCAAGCCCCAGTACCAGCACCAAAGAACAAAAAACAAACCAAACAGACTGGAACCACAAGCACCCTGCCCAGAGGGGCAAGAAGCACTTATCTATGCTTGGTTGTTTTAGTGGATGAAAATGTCTTGTGTTGGTCTAGATTGTGAAGTCCTTGAGAGAAGAGACCCAATAGTGTTGATGATGAGTATTGTGGCAGTGCCTAGCATGTTACCTGGAAAAGAAGAAAAGTAGGCTTACCTTTAAAAACATCCACAAAGTCTCTCTTAGTTTGGGAAAGAAACTGATTGGATATTGCCCTCTTCACATTCTCCATGGATATTGGGATTGTCCTAGGCGGGGGGCAAGGTGTTGTTTTTGTTCTCAGACGTCCTTTAGGGAGGGTCCACTTAATAAAGTCCTAGCAAAGAAAGCACAGTGTTTAAGAGAATCGGCACAGGTCTACCAAATGCAACCAAGAATATAAGGACTCATGCGTCCACTTTGAGTGTATGTGGTTGTGTGTGTGTGTGTGTGTGTGTGTGTGTACTGGGGCTTGAATTCAGGGCTTGAGTGCTGTCCCTTAGCTTTTCACTCAATGCTAGCACTGTGAAGCCACACCTCTGCTTCTGGCTTTTGACTAGTTAGTAATAAGAGCCTCATGGAATTTCCTGATTGAGCTAGTTTTGACCTGGGATCCTCAGATCTCAGCCTTCTGAGTAGCCAGGATTACAGGTATGAGCCACTGTAATGGGGCCACGTCACATTCTTTGAAATCTTTTAAGCTCAGCCACAACATGGCCATCGCACATAGTCAGGAAGTCTGTTAACAAGAGGCAAGGGATTACCTGTATCACAGGTAGCAGTATGCATCTTTGTGACATTTCATATAGATAATAAAATAATGTCATTGCAAATGCCCAAGAGTTGTGTTTCCAACCAGAATTCTGCCAAAGCTAAGGAGTTCTGGTCATGCATGCCCAGAAGCAGTAACAGTGGCTGCTTTCTCCAAGGGAACTCCTGAGAGAGACACAGCCTGGAGTATCCCTAGGGCAGGGATGGGTGGGTCCCATCTCCTCTTCGCCACCACTTAGTGAGATTCTGATGATTCATCATGAAACCTCCATCCACTCTTCCCATCTTCCCTCTGTAATGACCAGGTTTCCTTCCTATCTCTATAAGAAAATTGAAGTCACCAGCAGAGAAGTTCTTCTGTCCATCCTCCTCTACTCTGTGAGGAGGGAAGAGCCAGAAGTGCTCCCCAGCAAAGACAAGCCACATCTGGAGCGCTAGATCATGTCCACTTCAGTCTGTTTCAGCATATCACTCGACAGTCCTCACTTTTCTCTTGCAACTTCTATTTCTTCTTTTCTCCTGGGTGGTTGCCATCAGTATAACACCTCAGGTTTTCCTTCTCCTGTCTCACAAAGAAATCCCTCTCTTCACCCTACTTCTTCCTCTAGTTCTCCCATCCCACCCCCTTGACAGCATGAGGGCTTGAACTCAGAGCCCTGCACTCTTCACTTGGCTTTTGCACTCAAGACTGGCGCCCTACCCCTTGAGCCACACTTTCACTTCTGGCTTTTTGCTGGTTAATTAATCCAAGCTAAGAGGCTCATGGATTTTTATGTCTGGGCTGGCTTTGAACCAGGATACTCAGATCTATTTTCTCTTGAACTCCAGGTTCTATCTCAATTCTCTCCTTTCTCTTATAATTTGAATACTGAAGAAATGAACTGTGAACACAATGCATCAATTGAAGAAGCTGTTTGCTGTTTGCATACCTCTTATGCTATTAAACAATCCTGAATTCCGAGACTCAGGGTAGAGCCTTTAAACTATACTATACGGGTGTTTGGCAAGACCATAGGAGGTAAGTAGTATATTATTCCTCTCTGTGTAATGGTAGCAGCTATTGTGGTTCAATGGCTAGATTCATAACATTTTAGTCTAGCACAACAATACTTACTGGCCGAGAGTATGAAGTACAGACCACCACACTAGTTCTCATTGGCTGAGAGCACAAACTTCAGTCTCTCACACTAGCTTTCATTGGCTGATGGCACATGGGCATTTAAAACATTAGATCTCATTGGCTAGGAGCACACAGGTGCTTAACATGCTAGTGCTCAATGAGTAAGAACATTTAATAGCACTTACAGGGAAATTATATGTGTATGTGTATAATTTTGTATCAACTCCTTTACATTGATGTTAAAATTTTAAAGAAAGCATTTAAGAGTTATGGTGAATAGATTCTGTGAGGAAGAAAGTAAAATAGAGTATGTGTGTGTTCTGTTGAATCCCAAGTCTTCACCTCCAAATCGTTTTTCTCAAGACGAACTTCAGATGTCTATCTTCACTTGCTTCCTGGAATTACCTTACGTGGAGTTCACATTTCCTTCTATCCCCTTCCCTGCCAAACCTGGTTCTCCCCCATGATCCAGTTCAGTAAGCTGTCAGCATGAGCCACACAAGCCAGAAATCTGAGTATCAAGCTTTTCTCTTCCTTCTTTATCTTTCACATTCTTATGAGCAACAAATCTTACCTATTCTCCCACCTTGCCACCCATTCAATGTATCCAGGTGGTGCACCCCGGTGGCAGCCACATTAGTGAAACCATATACCACAAGTGAACCCTGCCTTTTATGATGAGACAAGGGCAGACAGCACCAGGCCTCAAGTTCAACACAGAGTGAAGATCAGTTACTTCTGTCCTCCAAGGAAGGAAATTGGAGATGACTCTTTTTAAGCTGAGCCTTGAATAGATAGAGGAGCCTTCCATTTGTGGACAGGAGAACATCATTCTGGAGAAAAACAACCATGATAAAAGACAAGGAGGTTTATGTGTGCACAAAACCTGATATCAAACACAAGTCCTTGTGCATGCCTATTCAAAGCAGCACCAGTCAACCAATAGTCTACAAGTAGAATCAACCAGATGTCCATCAATGGATTTATGGATAAACACACTGTGATATATACATGTGGTATTCAATTATTCAGGAATAATGATTGTGAGGATATAAGTGGGCCCCCCAAAAGTATGTGAAGTGAAAGGAATCAGGCACAAAAGATTACCTGAAAAGTATCCAGAATAAAAAAATCCACAGGGATAGAAAGCTAATTAATGGCTACCAATGCAAAGGGACTGGGGAGTGTGAAGGGTTTTGTGGGTCTGGGACTTCCTTCCCAGATGATGACAATGTCCCACAACAAGACAGAGATAGTGACTGACAGCTGCATAAATTAAGTGTCAGTGAACTATTGCCATTAAAATGACTCATCCCATATGACTTTCTGAAATCCTACAATTCCTAGGGGCTAGAGGAAATATAATTGGAATTAACTGTGAGAGGGTAGGCAAGACATAGTCTAGAAAGGCTATGTATTTAAATCCTTACAGACAGAAGAAGGCTCTCTATAACACATCCAGACTCATTCCTATGAGTGCAATACAGTGCTAAGTTCAGCAGGTAAGGAGCTACTAGCTTACCTTATCAGGTTGAGATTGATCTGTCTTTGTTAACACACTGTCATTAGAAGGGGATTTCCAAACGTACTCATCTTTGTACAGTGTCTGATTCAGAGGATCACTAAGTGAGTACGTGAATCCTAATCTTCGGTTACCTTTATGACTACAAAAAAAAAGTAGAATTTAGACTAAGAGGAAGGTTAAGGCCAAATCTCACAAATGGTTCATGTCACATCAGTTTCTGTATTATGAATTTTGTGTGTGTGTATGCCTGAACTCAGAACCTAGGCACTGTCCCTGAGCATTTTCACTCAAGGCTAGTTCTGTACCACTTAAGTTATGGCCTTATTTCTGGCCTTTTGGTCATTAATTGGAGATAAGAGTCTCATAGACTTACCTGCCCTGGTTGGCTTTGAACCTCAATCTTCAGATCTTAGCCTCCAGAGTAGCTAGGATTACAGGTGTGAGCCACCAGTACCCAGCCCCTATTATCTATTTTTAAAGATTGACTAAATTAAGACTTGGTACCAGATCAAATTGAACTTTCAGATTTCTTTGGTAAGAAACAATTGCTTAATTTGGGATGATTCCTTATAAATCCCAGAAAATATATAAGGAGATGAATTTTGTAAAGAGCAAGATGCTGTCTTGTACGGAGTACTTCTGTGTAACCCAATAGTTAGTTGGAAAAAAAGTCTCTCTATGTACATGAATCCCAGTGGATGAAAGGAAGAAACATAGAAATCAAGATACTTCTTTTAGGTTTGCAAGTCCTCATGAAATGATACCTCTAGGAAATGACCACCAGGATCAGAGCTCAAAAAGAGACTGGGTACCAGATACTTGATGCTTCTGGATGGATGAACAAAATACTACCTACTAAATATTTTTGCCAAGAATTGGAACTGGAATCAGATGAGTTCTCTAGATTATTGAATTACAGGAAATGCATGAAAGGATGAGTATTTTAAACAGCATCCTAGGAATTAAATTAGAAAAACCCAGACCAATGGTTCTATTTTGTCAGCAAAAAAAATTATCGGAAAAAAATTAGGAGAATGTGTAGATTAAATGAAAGAAGAGGCGTAAGAAGAAAATATCATGTGTGGGTCCTGTTTGCGTTCAATTTCAAACCACTTTTTTTTGTCAGTTGTGGGGTTTGAATTCTGGGCCTGGGCACTGTCCCTTAGCTCTTCAGCTCAAGACTAGTGCTCTACCACTTGAGCCACAGTGCCACTTCTGGTTTTCTGGTGGTTTATTGGAGATAAAAGTTTCACGGACTTTCCTGCCCAGGCTGGCTTTGAACCACAATCTTCAGATCTCAGCCTCCTGAGTAGCTAGGATTGCAGGGGAGTGCCACCAGTGCCTGGCTCAAACCACTTTTTAAAAAATCGTGAGACAGCTGGGTGCCAGTGGTTCATGGCTACAATTTTAGCTACTCAGGAGGAGTATGTTGTTCAAAGCCAGCCCAGGAAAGAAGGTTTAAGAGACTCATCTCCAATTGACCAGCTAAAAAGCCAGAAGTGGAGATGTGTCTCAAATAATAAAGAGCTAGTCTTGAGCAAAAGGCTCAGGAACAGCACCCAGGCCTTGAGTTCAAGCCTCTGGACTAGCACACACACACACACACACACACACACACACACACACACACACACACACACCACCCAAATTATGAGACATTGGGCAAATATGATTGCTGACTTCAATATTGAAGAATTTAAATTTTTATTATCTTTAAGTAGTTGTATAAAGGAGGTACCATATAACAAAGCAGTTTATGAATACAGTGTATCTTGATCAATGTCACCCCTTCAACATTCTCATCTCTTTCAACCCACTCCTTCCTTTACTTTTCTTAACTGTGTGAGACTCTAAATTTATAAAGTAAAATGGGCTAGGAATGTAGCCCAAGTGGTATAGCACTTCCCTAATAAGTGCAAGACCTTAGGTTTGAACCCAGTGTTGGCAACACAAACAAGAAGAGTAAAGGAAGGAAATGGAGAAGAGAAGAAGGGAAAGAAGAGGTCCAGTAGGAAGGATAGGTGGAGGGACAAGCTGAAGTTTACCTGTGTGTTATTTATAGATGAGTGGTAGCTGGAGACTCATGGTACATCTTTTGTGCATGTTTAAAGTAGTTTAGATTGCTGGGCACCAGTGGTTCATAACTGTCATCTTAGCTACTCAGGAGGCTAAGGTCTGAGATTCAAAGTTGAAGGCAGCCTGGATAAGAAACTCTGTGACACCCTTGTCTCCAATTAACCACCAAAAAGCAGAAGTAGAGCTATGGTTCAACCTGTGGCTCACTTAGCCTTGAGCAAAAATCCTAAGGTGCAGGGCCCAGTACCTGAGTTCAAACCACACTAATAGGATAGAAAAATTCATATTGACTTCAGGTAATATGCAAGAGAAACAAACATCTGGGAAGTTAGACTCATCTGAATGGAACTGTTTTATTTATTTATCTATCTACACATTCCTGGATCATATCTTATCTGAGATCAAATTTGCATATTTATGCTGGTCTTTTAAATTTTTTAATAACAATTTTTCAAATTATCTTTAAGTAGTTGTACAGAAGGATTCCAATTCACCATATCAAATTTATGAGTACAATGCATCTTGATCAATGTCACTCCTTCCACCATTCTCCCCCATCTCTCCCAAGCCCCACCCATCCTCTCGGGCTACCTGGTTCCATTTTCATACATGTCCATTGTCCTCACCTCTCACATCTACTCTCATCCCCTTGACCTCCTCACCACCCTGATAACATGTAGTTCCAGCTTCCTGGTATTCATTGTGTTGAACTGAAAATTACCTGTTCAAAGGAGTTGCAATATTGCAATTCTCCCATGAGCATACTAGACATTTGTCAATGTGTGTCCATAGGCATATCACCCTGTTTATAAACAAGGTTTATAAAAATGTTTTATTCATCTATGTTCATGATTTAGATCCTTCCTTTGTCAACTTTCCTTACCCAGTTACAGGGTATATATACAGCAACAGGAGAGAAAGGATCCCAAATGGGAAACCTGGTAACAAGAATCCCCAGGGCCCCTGCCTGCCACTCCCACTCCCTACACTGCGCAGACTTCGCGTCTTAGCATTGGTGTCCAGAGTGGAGGATCGTTCTCTCCCCAGGCAGTCTTCTTCTTTTAAATAAGTTTCTTATTGTGACAATACCTTACAGAGGGGTTACAATTACATGAGCAAGGTAATGAGTACATTTCTTATCAAGCACTGTTGCCTCCTCCTTTGTTTTTCCCCTACCATCCCTGCCCTCCCATCTCCATGACTACGCCAACCCCCTCCCTGCCAATGTTGTAAAGTTCATTTTTCGACAAAGCATCTTGTTGCAACGGGTCCACCTGCATCCCTATTTAAATAATGTTTTTTTTCCCTTCCCCTCCACAAATTATACCAATATCAAATACAGTGAAAACTGGGGTTATACTGTGGGGAAGGGACATACAAAGCAACAAAACAATCACCTTATAAATACGTTAGAAACAATAGCAAGAAAGAAAAACCATTTGAGTCTTTATCTTGGAGTTCATTTTGTCTAACATCAACTTATCTGACCTTTTCTGCTTGTCTCAGACATATACTAGTTATTGCAAATAAGGGAAACCATGGGACCTGTGTTTCTTTGGGCCTGGCTTACTTCACTTAATATAATTTTTTCCAAGCCTTTCCATTTCCTAACAAATGGGGCAATGCCATTCTTTCTGATGGAGGCATAGAATTCCATTGTGTATATATACCACATTTTCTTGATCCATCCATCTATGAGGGGCATCTGGGTTGGTTCCCTATCTTAGCGATGGTAAAAATGCTGCAATAAACATAGTTGTGCTGGTAGCTTTATTATGGTATTGTTTGTAATCATTTGGGTAAATGCCCAAAAGTGGGATTGCTGGGTCATAGGGGAGCTCTATGTGGAGTCTTTTGAGGAACCTCCATACTGCTTTCCAAAGTGGTTGAACAAGATTACACTCCCACCAACAATGCAGTAGGGTTCCCTCTGGCCACATCCCCTCTAGCATTTGTTGTTATTAGAGTTCTTGATTATAGCCATTCTAACTGAGTGAGGTGGTATCTCAGTGTTGTTTTGATTTGCATTTCTTTTATGGCTAGAGAGGTTGAGCATTTTTTCATATGTCTACTGGCCATCCTTCTTTCCTCTTCAGAGAAGTTTCTCTTTAAGTCTTTAGCTCACTTATTTATTGGGCTGTTGTTTCTTTGAGGATTTGTTGTTGGGGGATTTAATTTTTTGAGTTCCAGGTATATTTTCGGTATGAGACCCTTATCCATTGTATGGCAAGTGAAGATCTTCTCCCAGTCTGTGGCCTTTTATTGATCTTGCTAGCTAAGTCCTTTGCCATGCAGAAGCTCTGCAATTTCATGCAATCCCATTAGTCCAACCTTTCTTTGATTTGTTGTGTTTTTGGGTCTCTATTAAGAAAACTTTGGCCCGTGCCAAGGAGTCCAAGGGTTTCTCCTATTCCGTCCTGTAATGTTTTCAGAGTGTCTGCTTTGACTCTGAGGTCTCTGATCCATTTGGAGTTGATTCTGGTGTGGGGTGATATATAAGGATTTAGCTTTAGTTTTCTACAAGTGATTAACCAATTTTGCCAGCACCATTTACTGAAGAGGCTATCTTTCTTCCACTCTATTTTTTCTTGGGGGGGGTCCATTCATGGGGCCCAAGCTCTGGGCCTGGGTGCTGTCCCTCAGCTCTTTAGCTCAAGGCTAGCACTCTACCACTTGAGCCACAGCGCCACTTCCGGCTTTTTTCTTTTTGCTTATGTAGTGCTGAGGAATCGAACCTAGGGCCTCATGCATTGAAGGCAAGCGCTCTACCACTGAGCCACCTTCCCAGCCCTTCCACTCTATTTTTTTAGCTCCCTTATTGAAAATTAAGTGGCTATAGGTCTGTGGGTTCATTTCTGGGTTTGCAATTCTATTTCATTGGTCCTGAGGTCTGTTCTTGTGCCAGTACCAACCTGTTTGTAGTATGGCTTGGTAGTAAAGTTTGAAATTTGGTATTGATATTCCTCCAGCACTGTTCTTTCTGTTAAGGATCATTTTTGCTATTCGGGGTCTTTTATTGTTCTATATGAATTTTTGGATTGCCTCTTCTATTTCCTTGAAGAA